CCCCCCCTCCACATAGTCAATTTATAATTTCAGATACAAACATAATTATACCTTGAGATGCCTATTATGTCCAGTATGGCACAAGTATTGCAAATGAGTTTTCCAATATTTTGTAATATTATAGATCAATGATTACAAGATACACAATTCCATCTATTTTTACCATATTTCAACTAACTTTCCTTCTCATATAAACTTTTTTTAATTATTCAATATTTAGTTGTTTATAATATTTTATAAATTTTAATATAATTAAATTTGAGCATTTGATTTAACATATATAACATCATTTACAAAAAGAATTTGTTCTTTAATTATCTTTATTAAATCTCTTGATATAAAATTAATTAATTCATATATTTTGGTAACGTTGTTCTCTACATCTGTAGTAAAAACAATTGTTTGTTTGAAATTGTGGCAAAAATCTGTTTTACCAAGTATGTAGTGAGTAATATATAAATTTGAATTAATAGATGAAAAATGATAATAATTCATGCTTCTAAATTCTTCTATAGTATTAAGATGATCGTTTTCATATATATTTTTATGCACAAATGGTGTTTAATATATAATCTATAATAATTTGAAATTATATATACATGTTTGATAAGTAGAAGTACATTATGATACTTATAATTGTAGAGTTACCTCAATAGGTCTTTGGTTTTACACTTTTTACAAATAGACTAATTTTTTCATCTTTGTTTGCCATAATTCTTTCATAAATAGATACCATTTTCTCTAATAATATAGTCAGGAGTATTTTATTTTCCTTGTTTTGTTATTTTTTCTAATAAAATATTCAAAGTTTTCTTTGGTCAGTGTTAATATGTTCTTCAATCACGGAACATAGAGTTCTTCAAATTAGTAGATACGATTTCATCTGATATTTTGGTAGTAATTGAATGGTCATTCAATCAAATTGTGAAAACATGTTTTGGTATTTTTTAAAGATCTAGTGTTCTCCATACTTTAAAATTAATTGAATCAATTATTTTTTTGTACATGAATTTAATTTATTATAACTGATATTCAATGGTTTTGCATCTTTGTTTGGTTGTATTTTGTTAAATCATTTTTCCAAAACTCGAGTATTTGATGATAACCCTTTTAAAAAAAAATATTAATGTATAAGATTCGTAAAAATATACAAAATAACACATAAAAGCAATTGTATGAGTTCTTTGTTTTAGTTGGTACTGATTTGTAATTTTATTTATATCAATTGCTGTGACACTTTAAATGATGAATATAACTTGCATCCACCATGTTTACGGGATCTATAATATGATATTATGGCTGATATCACATTAATAATGACTCATCCATCGATAAAGACGGTTTATGGTATTTTAATGGCTAAAAAAAAAGATGACAGAATATAATCATAAATCGCGAATTTAGAACTCGGATTGATTGCTCGCCATTTATTAATAATAGCCGGTTTCTGTACCATAATTTTTTTTCTTTAATTGTGTCGATAATAATAATCTAATTATTATATCTTCTTCGTGTAGAAACTTTATGTGTGCATGACGATCTACATGTAGGTTGGTACTAGGTCGAGCGTTATGCAAATATTGACGATCAAAGGGCAATTATTATGAATACTTTGACTTATGTTTTGTTTTTGCTTACCCGTAATTGGTTTAGAAAAAATTTGACATTGTAATTCAAGGTTAGGAAAACAAGATAAAGTAGATGAGTTTTTTTAACAAAGAGGACAAAGCAAACAATACTACAATTTTAATATGTTTTAAGGTTTATTTCTCAACACTTATGTATGTCCACTTCAAAATTGTAACTATCACAAATTATGAGAATGTTATGCTTTGGAGCTGAATACTTTTGTTGTTTTGACAATGCTTGTGTTAAAATTAATTGTTGTTGTAAAAATAAATTTTCACTGTGCTTACACAAAAGAAAAATTGATTGATCCGCTATTGCTTTTTTATACATATGTATAAACACACACCTATTTCGATCAGATTCAACACGTTTATACCAAGAATGAGTATTTGACTTGAAAAACACATAAAAGAGTGAAAACATACACTTTAAGATTGTTTACTGCATGGATTAAATCTTGATAGTTATATGTGATCACTGGTCTACCTGGAGCAAGCCATTGACCGAAATAAAAATACTTGAATTCGCAATGATAGCTTCCTAAGACATTCACACAATTGTGTAGTCCACAATATTGAGCATCTCTATCATTCTTTGCATTCGTCAATATCTAGATAATGATAAGTAACAAGATGTGATCTTATACTATTTGTTATAATACAGAAAGAAAGAGTTAATGTTTAGAAAATAGTTCTTATTTAACTTTGATTACCCATGTAACCCTCTGTGCATCCGTAACTTGCTTAGATGATTCCATAATCATTTTTATTCTGGCATGTGCAACATATATTATAAGATGGTAATCTAATATACTCTAGCCTATTTTGTAAGCCTAATGAGGTAATGAATGAAAGATTTATTTTCGAAATGACTATTTTAGCTCTAGGAGAGCATACTGTTTTGCATAGAACAATTGCGAGTTTCTGAGCTCCGTTATAGTCAAAAGTGGCCCAAACTCTTCTTCAGTACCGAAAGTTATAGGGCTTTCGTGAGAAGTGATGCGTAAGACATTGACCCATCTCGTTATTAACTTAGAAGAGAGATATTTACAACTTCTTTGCTGCTAATGGAACGGAAAGGAGCATGCGGAAACAATCTTGCATTTAATCAAACAAAAGTAACATAGTGAAAAAAAGAGTCAAAACAAAATAAATATGATTAGAGCTCATGTTTAAGATCTACGCAAGATAATGTTTTTTTTTGTCTCTTTTGTCTTGATAAAGTATTTGTGAGAGAAAATTTGTATTTACTTGGGTATTTGTCCTCGTTATATACTTATCTA